TTTGTGTTTGCAAAACGTGCCGGGCTTATGTCATTGGCCCTTGCTCTAACAAACGAGTACCCAACTCGATAATATTAAAGCAATAAGACCTTCCTAATGAGGGCGAGATGCCCTTTGACCATCTTAGTATAATACTTGGGCATTCTTCCTATTTGATCCGGAAGTAATCTAGCCGCTTTTAATTTCCAACGCAGCTGAATCGCAAAGGCATTTTACGCTGTGTTCTTGCGCCAAATGGAGGGTTCCCTTTGAATTAGAGCTGCTCACCTACAGCGCAATTAACACATTCTAAGCAAAATGCACCATTCATGTAAACACCAACTCCTTTGGGCTTTTCTTTCACCTTATAGATGGTTGCTTCATGTGCACAACTATTTTATCGCGTGTCGCCTACTCCATGCTTTACACCTTCAGGGGTAACATCACACCAAGTGTGCAGCATCCACGCTTCCATGGGTTTGGTCAGGACGGTGGCCGACGTGACCACTTCCTGATGTACCTATGTATGTGGTACTCAGGGGCGCAGAAATGGAAACCGGTTCTGACACTAGGAAATTTCGTGGCTTCTGTGGTATGCACACATACAAGTACCTCCCTGCTTTGACATGGATGCACGTTTCGTTCGCAGTATGCTACCTGAAATCGCACACTTATCAAACTCTTCTAAATAAGATCAGAGGAGCAGGAAGTTAGCTGGCGTGAGGCAGGGAATGACACTGTGGTATAGAGCAAAAGAGTTTATATGGGCGCCATCAAGTGACTGCATTGTAAGTGCTACCGCTGTTAGTCACGGAAGACTGACTTTGCGAACTGGGTTTGCGTAGGCACGGTTTTTTAAACAACTGAGACTTGCGTGACGGGTTGAGATTGCTTTGTATGCTCACAGACGGTCTACAAATTGCTCGCCTCTCATGACTACTCATGCACAAATATATATATATATATATATATATATTTGCTAGGAGTGGGTGGCATGCATAAGTAATATGAAAAAGATGCATCAGTATGCATGATGAAAGGGCAAATAACAAGAGGCGTGCGTACTTGATCTTTCTGAAGCATATCAGCTTTGTGTAGAATCTTCATGGCGTAAATATATCCATTGTCCTGTTTTTGGACCAATCGAACCTGAAAAAGCATCAAGGGCGTTTATTGGCGAGAGATCGACGGTGAGCAGGTACAGAGGAGTGAATATGATTTACTCCGTCTTTGTGACCCGTAGCAATACTGTCAGAGTAGGATGTACGAATTACTTAACTCCACACAAGGAAACCCATGGAAAGGGCCACTCATTAAAAAGAACAGGAAGCCCAAATTTTTGAGAAATACACTCATTTGCCTCATTACCTGATGAGCCCCAAGAAAGGCGAAACCGGTCGTGGGCTGTCGAAAAGTTTTCAGCAACCTTGTGAGTAGTTTCCTTTAGGAAACCCCAATGTTTTAAGGGCTACAAGGCAATTCTGAGAAAATTGCATTGCTTGGTACAAACTAACATGCATACGAGTTCTCAACTGATCAAAAGTCGTTTATTGAAACTCAGCGGTGGTTACAAACTTGAAGCTAGAAAGATGTTAATTCTCGATAAGTGCCGGGTTTTACCTAATCTTGCAACGAATATGGAGGTCAAGTTACTCCGGTATAACACTACTTCACTTGTGCCATCATCATGTGCAACGTACTGGCTTCAGTGATTTATCGAGCGTTCACGAAGAAGCGACCCATCAAGTTTAGGTGGCCTCAGATGTACTCCTAGTCCACTGCTATGTTCCACTCGTCGAAAGATAGACTATACTTGTGTTGCAAAGTATGGTGCTTGATAAATGACCTAGGATGGAAGCATACAGCATGGGATGATTACATTTAGGGGAATTTTGTGCGAATTATGGAAGATTTCGACGGGTTTCGTCACAAACCGATTTTCGATCAGGACATTACTTGTACTCTGAGGACGGATAATGATTCCGATGGGTTCACTTTGAGGAGCAAGAAACCAATAATCAAAAACCGTGTGATAGCCACCGTTGGTCGCACTTTAAATGATTAGAATAAAGTCAGAAAAATGTTATAAAAAATCGCACTCGCTTCAGCTACTTCAGGCTGATTTTACTTCCTTCCTACTATTTCACGACCACACTTCCCCGAAAATAGCGTTGTATCATCGGTAAGTGCTGTCACTCCTTAGGTTGAGAAATCCTAACTGGGATAATTATGCTGAGTTGTCGCAATATTCAAGGGGGTGAAAGCAGATGAATAGGGGAGCGTCAAAGATAGAGGCAATGCCAGCTGATCTCCTCGAAACACGAAACTCTGCTGTAGCACACACGTTCGAAAAATAGCACGGCTAATCGTGAGTCACCAAGCCAACCACAGAACACGTCATAGTGTATAGGAAATGTAGACTCGAAAGACAATACGGGCATCCGTGACATGATAAGTGACAAAGACAAATTGTGACTTTTGTTGAGTTCCAGTGTGTAACAGAATGAACGCACTGAATTGCGTTTGTTGGAGCCGACTAACAGAACAGAGAGTTATTTGGAAAAGGTTAAAAATGCAGGTTCCAACCGTACGAATGAGAAGGCCTGGGCATCTTTCTTGTTCAGGTTACTTTCAAGTGGACCTGGTATTTCTAAAGCTCCACGAACAGACGAGTCAGATATGGAAGATAGGCCGTCAACGGAAGCCGACATACAGTGGCGGTAAGCTCGTCGATCTAAGTCCTACGTCCTGAAATCAAAACAAACAGCACCTCTAATGCGAAGTGACAGTGTCATCTCGATTGGCGCCAAAGCGTCTGCAACCAAATTACGCAGTCCAGGTAACAGACTGATTATCACAAGTTCAGTCCCCTAACACAATGTAGTAGGAAAAATCAGATTGATATCCTTAGTTGGGGCAATCCAACACGGTCGCTAGTCATAACCAAACTTTGAGGACGCCACTCCTCCGAAAATGGAAAAAGATCTCGTTGTTTTCATACGAGCAAGTTATCTAATGCTACTAGCTGATTACTTATTTGGTCCAAGTACAGAGGTGACTTTGTTCCACGGCCGATAAAGTCCATCGCTGAGAAATAATAAACCTTAAGAGTAAACTTTGGACCCAAACTTTGGGCCTCAAGAAAAAACTATAGTGGACGTGGACAGGTATAACAAGCTCGAGTGAGTCAATGGAGTGTGATTTACGCACCGTGATTTCCAACGCCTATCATTTATGGTGAATAACACGTGCACCGAAGGCCAGTGCGAACCCCGATTCAACATGTTATCCACTGGCTTGTACTGAAGCAAAATGCATTCACTTGGGAGTCGGCCTGGTGCACGCGAAATACTTTGCATCGGCCGAATATCAAACAGGCCGACAGCACGCAGACACATCTCGCGATAATGAGCATTTAATCCCCCGGCAGAGTACCAGCTGCCTCAATTCACAGGTAGTCAATATTGAAACCAAAGTACAGCCACATGGTCCGCAGCTGAATTGTCAGAAGCCCTTCCCGCGCCTGACACCAACAGTCGGATAATATTTTGTCCTGGTTTGGAATGTCATCTACAGGTCAGCGAACTTGACGGGTTAGAAAGTATAAATTGGTAATAACCAGGTAAGCAATCTACCTATCTGTTTTGTCAGCCTTTAAACAACAGACCTGAAATAAAAGTATAGCGCGCGGGTGTTGACACACATAACCGAACCGAATTACGTTCAACGTCTGCGAAGTGATCTTCGTCCGCTAAATCCGTCCCGGGCATCCGTTAAAATTGCAACAATGAGGTTAGTAGCTACTCGTAACAAGCAAAATGTCAAAAAAGTAGGAGGGGACTATGTATACTTAAATTTGCGTTATTCTTCTGTGGTTTTGCTCCAGAGAACCATGAAAAGTCGATAGAAAAAACAGCGATGGCTGTTTCTGAACGTTTCACTACACGGACAGCAAAACCAAAGTGTCGACCGCTACCAACCCTGTCCCTATACAAACAAATCAGGGGGCAGTAGAAATTCACCTCTGTAGAGTGAGCCATGTATGAATGACTTGGGACATTTTTAAAGTGTTTTTGAGGCGGTGACATGATAAGTTTGTTCAGACAAAACACACTTATTTGCAAATTGTATTGGTGCTGACAAGAGACTCAAATAAACCTCCCGTCCAACACGCTACCAGCCAGCATAGATTGAAAATCACTCGTCTGTCTTGGTTTAAACAACCACGAGGACAATAAGAACAATCGTTACGTGCTACAAAACACCTGCACAAACAACAACGGCTAGCGGTTGTTGAAGGTCAGTGATAATCCGGAAATATCGCCTGATCGGATGATCCATGTTCAAGGTTACGCATTAAAACAATCACCTGGTCACAGGACCACAACAACCGCAAAACAAGAGGCAAAGCCGATAAAGTTGCGGTGATGTGGCAGCACGTGACTGTTGAAAGCCGGTGTGAAAAAGTGTCACACATCTATCTGCATTTTGGGTCAGGAAGAAAAGCGACATGTGCAAAGTTTTGGGTTTCTTTTAACTGAGACTTCAACCGGTAACTGGAGCCAGTGCACGCTGAAAAGCCGAGAAGTTCTTGGTTGCTCAGCTTTTCGGCATAGACTGGAATCACTTGCAGGAACAAATCTCTATTGCGAATACTGAGATCTCCTCACACTACCAACATTCTAGGTTATGAGCAACCACTCCGGCATTGTAACCGATCCAGTTCGGCTAACGTAGTTCATGTTGCCCGGGGTAACAAAGACTACGGCATAATCAGGGGTGCGTTGTATGTCAACCCATGACCAATATAACTCAGCAGTTAAGGGCGTGCACATACGACAGTTGCACGCAAAGCATGCCACCGAAATAACTGATCCCTTATGAGAATTCGAAGGCCTAAAAATAAGTTTCATCGTAATGGAGAAGTAACGACAAGTCAGAGTAAATGAGCTTTCGAACAACAGTAATTCTCCCCATATGACCAAGCCATACGCAATTCAATATAGAAGAGTAGGCAGATATCTGGACTAGCCAAGTCAGAATTGACTAGATGGCATTGTTCTTAAGCTCCGAATTTCGTCATAAGCATTTCTTACGGGTCCCATCACAGCTGGTGCGATTGTATTGACATGGCGAGCTTGATGTCCGAAAGGAATCAATACCAACGGGTGGTAGCATGAATCATTTATTCACCCACAGTAAGTTGTTTCAATGACGGCAGACGGTAGTGGGACCGATGGCAAATGGTACAACTTTGCCAGAAACTACATCGATGGGTACGTGGTGAGGACTGTGACCCAAAAAATATCAGTTCACGCACATTCACGTCCACCTATACTGACGTTGGGTGTATGACGTAGTCTTTCAACATCGAAAGTTGAAAGTTTGGGAAAAAAGCGAACTCTAGAGGAGTGACGTAAAATCCTAGAGCAAATAAAAAGTTAAGTGTGTCGGTAGTCACTTGAAGTTGACGAGGATTCCGACTCAAATAATCGTACGAAAACAAGTGAAATCTTGTGCATAGCTATACAACCAATTTGAACGTTGACTAACACTTTTGTTGAGAATATCCCACCCTCGTTGCTATCACTACTTAAATACCCACCTGTTTTTCGGATTCGCACTAGAGATCAAGACACGTTGCTATGAGTGCAACTTTTCGACTACGTCCACAGTTCTCACGGCATGAAACCTGTTCGTCACATCAACTTTTTGTCCTCATCACGTTAACGTCTTACTATATCACCTTGGAGGTTAACCCTGTTACTTCATTCACCTGATTGCTGCCTTAGTTTGAAAGGGGTCCCCTAACACAATGTAGTAGGAAAAATCAGATTGATATCCTTAGTTGGGGCAATCCAACACGGTCGCTAGTCATAACCAAACTTTGAGGACGCCACTCCTCCGAAAATGGAAAAAGATCTCGTTGTTTTCATACGAGCAAGTTATCTAATGCTACTAGCTGATTACTTATTTGGTCCAAGTACAGAGGTGACTTTGTTCCACGGCCGATAAAGTCCATCGCTGAGAAATAATAAACCTTAAGAGTAAACTTTGGACCCAAACTTTGGGCCTCAAGAAAAAACTATAGTGGACGTGGACAGGTATAACAAGCTCGAGTGAGTCAATGGAGTGTGATTTACGCACCG